TCTTCCTTCACCTATTTGGATGTACCTATCTCCATGAAAAAGCTAAAAATTATTGATTTTTACTCAATATGAAGTAAAGTGTCATATTTGTTTGAAGGATAATAATCAAAGTTTCTCTCTTTGATGGGCACAATTCAAAACCTGATATTCACAATTTAAAACATGATTGTCTACTGGATTAGAAGTGCAGTTTTATCTAAAACATGCTTTAAATTTATGAACAAACTTTTTGCCAAATTTTTGTTTCAGGGAGATACAACAATCTGCCTTGTTCATTTAATATTCATTCATGTAATTTTCATATGTTTAATCTTTTAATTGAAAGAACTTGTCAAATTTGTCGATTCATGTCTACAACTTCAATTGCTTGCCTGATTATTTGCTTGTGAATTTACAATCAACTTCGCTAATTAATATTCTTATAGGAGAGAAATTAGTCACGCAATTTTCTTTATCTTATATATTTTACAGATTATATTAAGAGCCATTGAAAAAGATAAACTCATAGTACATCAATCAAATGAAATGTTTGCCTGAATTCTTTAAAATAATAATAGTTCATAATTTCATAATGTTGCATCCTGGAGTATTCGCGGTGGTATAGAAATATAAAGTTTAACGTCTTAACTTTGTATGAAGATCCATCACGCAATCAGATAAGAGAGAGAGTGTAGCATTTATAAGAGACACCAAGATTTTTACATGGAAAACCTCTGAAAAGGGGGAAAAACCACAGGTTCTAGCCCAGTTTGAATGAATCCACTAGTATTTACAGTTGATTACAAATGAGGCCCTTCATTGGGAGGAAAGCCTTGGCTTGATATAACAAATATACATCATATGGAGTACATTACATGGTGGGAATACCAAAAATCACTATGACGTGTTGTTTGGTTAGAAGGATCGTAGTCGGCGGGCGACGGAGGTCATAAAGTCCGTTGTCTGACAACGAAGGTCACAAGGATGATGTTAGGTAGAAGTCCAATGATGGACAAAAGTCCAGCGTCGAATAGAAGTTTGGTAACGGGTAGAAGTCTAGCGTCGGGTAGAAGTTCGGTGTCAGGTAGAAATATGGTGACGAGCGGGGATACGACATCAGATAGAAATCAGGAGACGAGCGGAGGTTTGCGTCAAGTAGAAGTCCGGCTTCGAGTAGAAATCTGGCGACGAGCGAAGGTTCGACAACGGGTATAAGTTTGGAGTCGGGTAGAAATCTGGCGACGAGCCCAGGTCCGACATCAGGTAGAAGTCTGACGTCTGTCGGCGGCCGACAGAACTCTAGCGTCAGTTGGTATTTGGGCAGAACTCCGGCGTCGGTAGGCTGTCGGGTGGAAGTCCGGTGGTGGTTGAGGAGGAGCTTCTTCCTTCTATTTTCTTTTCTTCCTTCTCTTCTCTTCTTTGCTTGCTTCTTGCTTGGGTCCCCTCTTAAGAGAAATGATGGGTCATTTATAGTTTTCTAAGAGTGGCATGACCAGTAAATAGGAGGAAGATTAGGGGTAAGTTGGGAGTGATTTGAATGGATGGACGATGTTGAATCCCTTGATCGTGGGCCATTTATCATCAGGCATTTGAAGGCTCTAATGATATCAGAATTTGACGAACTTGGGCTTGTTAGATTCGTCTCGTTGAGCCGCTCGATTCGACTGTAATCCTGCCATATTTAGAAACTGATGGGTAATCCAAATTATGGATTGAATCTTCCAAATGTGATTCGGGGTCTTTGATTTGGACTAGTTTGGGCTCAAATTGAGTTGAATTTTGTGTCGTTGGGTTTATATTTCTGAGACGTTCAGTTCAATAATAAGTTTGCTGAAATTGGAGTTCAAAGGGTCCCAGGTTTAATTTTTGAAGCTTCCAACTTATTTTTTATCTCGAGATTCGTGCCCGATTAGAATAATTCTTTGATGATATATCACATAATTATGAGTTAAAAGTATAAACCATTAGGTAAACGAAGAAGAAACACAAATGTAGAAACTTAAGCTATCCATATTTCATAGAGAAGATGAATTTAATTACATTACATGCATCACAAACTACATTATAAGTATTCCTTTTTTATTCTAAGAGTAAGTTACATAAAGATTTAAGCTTCATTCGGGACAATTTTTTATTAGTTTTCCAAAATAGTTGACCTAACTAGAATTTTTTTGTACTAAAAAACTGCTTTAGAATATAGTAAGAAAGCTATCCCACCTGAAGCCTTAGTTACAAGAGAAAAACGGCGATGATTATAGTAGCTGTTGTGATCATACAACTGGAATATACTAAGAAGCAACCTCCCATGAGTATACAAAGGAGCAGATAGTGTAGATGAAAGTTAGTGAGTTGTCATCGTGGAGGTGACCTGATGCAAAACGTGTTCAAGAATGTGAAGCTCTGGAGAATGTGTTGACAACTTGCTGCACTACAGATTATGAAAGAGAGGATACGTTTTTACCCTCTTTAAATTTCTCAATTCGAGGTACATATTATTGACTTGTATCGTAGATGATCATAGTTGTAATTGTAAGCAATTTGGTAAATATGTCGCCTATCTGATCATGAGAGTTAATGTGAAGCAATTTTCTAAGTAATTTCTTCACAACTCACAACCCCCAACTCAAATGAGTAAATTTTAACACATTTTTGAACTAATTTAGCAAAATTTAAATCAATTTAGACATATTTTAGTCTTATTTGAACTTATTGAAACTATTAATTGGAAAAAGTGTAAGAAGAGTATAGAACATAAATTAGAACTAGAGTTTGAATAAAATTTTGAATATCTTCGGAAAGGTTAAAATGTGTCAATCATTTCTAAAAATAATCTAATAAACTTTGCTCATATTTTAAATATTATCAAGATTTTTTAATGGTGATTTAATCATCATTGTAACTGTAAATGAGGTTGGAATATAACTCTAAAATGAGAACAAACACGTATATAGAAATCTAATTACCAAGGGATTTATTGTTTTGAGTGTGAAGCTTATTTTCAACCCTGAACTCCTGAAGGACAAACCGAAAAACAAAGCTTACTTATAAAAATGTCGAGAAAGGAGATATCGCCACTATAAATTCCTACTTAAAGACACACATTCTGCAATTGCTAGAAACAAAGAACAAACATATAAGTTCATGTAGCACTACACACTAATAGTTATGCCTATTTGCTCAAAAACAAAAACAAAAAAATGGTAACAAAATAGTCAAATATATTTCTCCAAAAAATAAAATAACTAGCATAGTTTTCACTTTTAGTCTTTATATATGGTACATATTTTTTTAATTTCAAATATTATATGGCTCGAATATATTAACAATTGATCTCATAACTTTGATCGCTCTCACATATTTTATGCTCAAACACCAATAGAAAGACCATCTCACCATTTTGTCATTACTATCTATTCCTCTTAGTGGGTTTCATTGTCCCATCAATAGTAATTTGGGCTATATTTTTTCATAGGATATCGTCCTCTTTAGCTACCCTTATAATTGCATAGTATAGTTATCCTCATCAAATCATCTATGTCATTTTGAGCTACCCTATTTGAAATTTGAATCTTTTCTTTCCCCCCAATATCCCTATAATATTGAAAGACTCAATCACAATTACCTAAAATTAGGGCTGCAAGCGAACCAAACGTTCGACGAGCTACTCGCTGTTCGGTTCGATTAAAGCTCGTTTGAGATTGTTTAATTAAGTAAACAAACAAATTTGAACAATATTTTAAATACTCGATTCTTAAATAAACAAACTTGAACACTACTGCGTTCGGTTAATTTATGTTCGCGAACAACATCATTTGAAGTTAATGAACAAGCTCGACATTAAGCTCGATAAGAAGCTCGATAAAAGCTTGATTCGTGTTCGATTTTGAACTCGTGAATAAGCTCGATGAAAATAATTAATATTTGACTACATAATTAATAAATATAAATAATCATTACCTTTGTTATATAGACAATTGCTTTTATTATAAATGTGTTTGTTCATGGATATGTTCATGAACGTGTTTGTTTGATAGTTAAAAAAATTAGTTGAATATGTTCGCGAACAAGCTCGATAAACACTAAACGAACGAACATGAACTGAACATGAACCGAACATGAACACTCCTTAATTTAAATGAACCAAACATGAACACAAATGCTAAAGCTCGAACAAACATGAACAAGCTGATATTAAATGAACACAAACATGAACACTCACATACTCGGCTCGGCTCGGTTCGTTTGCAGCCCTACCTAAAATTAATTGGACAATTAGGATGAGAGTAATTCAAACAAGCAATTACTTGCTCATAGTTTAAGAAAAAAATTATATATTTAAGTGTTTTAACATAATAGCCTATGATCATTGTATAGTTACAGCCAGAAGATTCCATCATGAAGGGCAAATAATATATAGAAAGTCCACCCATCCACTACGTAAGAGGAGCAAAGGGGAGAGAAAGAAGAATAATTTTCAAAATTGAGACCCTAAGGTCTATAATTTAATTGAGAAACCACGAAAACTACTAGCATTCATGAACAAAAAGAATAAATAATTCTTTGCAATGGAGTTTTGAGTTTTCTATAGCCTCCAACATTTTTTTGTGAAAATATCCTATAGATAAATATATTTTTAATACTCTTCCAAATCTTAAAGTAAATATTATGTCATCTATTGCAATTATATATTATCAAGCAAAGATATAGAATTACTCTCCAAATCATGCACAACATTGATGTCCTCTATGATTAAGTTTTTTTTATCTATTTCATTTTTATCCCTAACATCTTCCCTTTAAGATTTAGCTATGTGTAGCAAACTAGAATTAACAATAAAGTGCTTACTACACATTTTTCACTGTTCAAATTGGAAAATCTTGTAAAATAAAATACCACAAATATTTGAATTGGTCCATATAAAAAACATACATAGTCATTCAACCAAAAAATTAGATTTTACTACAAAACAAACATAGCAATATGAAATCCAAAATTAATAAGCAAATGTCAAACAAACACAAAGATAAAAGTCTTCAAGCATCCATGCGGATGATACAGCGGAGACCTTCCCCCTGAAGCATATAGTCGAAGGCCTTGTTAATCTCAGAAAAAGGTACTTCATGAGTTATGAACTTCTCCAGCTCCAGCTCCTACATCCAATTCAAGTTTCATTTAATATTCATGATCATTCCAACCAAAATACACCATTTTCCCAATACAAAATGATCGAATTCAAAGAAATACCTTGTTCATGTACTTCTCAACGACCGAAGGGAGATCAGAGCGAGGCTTGTAGTTTCCAAAGAAAGTTCCCTTGAGATTCCTTTCGTTGAGGAGTTTCAAGGGGTGGGTCTGGAAGACGGCATCTTTGTTAGGCACGCCAACCAAAACAGCAACACCCCATCCCTGCAAAATTTTGAAGTTCAGAATGTTGATAGATTTCTTTATAATGCATGAGATGAGAAGAGATTCAGAAGGAATACATCATGAACACATTCAAATGCAGATATCATGGCACCAATATTCCCAGTGCACTCAATGCTTCGATCAACTCCTCCACCAGTCATCTCAGCAAGCACCTAATAGGATATAATGTCCACAAAGATTAATATATTCATTCATGAGGGTTATGAGATACATAAATCTTTTACAGAGGTGATAAGTACAAACCTCTTGTACTGGTCTGTCATAGTCTTTTGGATTGACAAATTCATTGACACCAAATTTCTTTGCTGGTGAGAAGAATAGCAGACAACAATTTTCAATAAATCAGGCATAATGTATTGTAAACTTTAATGAGCTAAACTGGGAGGTTAGGTGATGGTGGATGGTTTACCTTCATCGAACCTCTTAGGATTCACATCAACGCCAATAATTCTTGAGGCTCCCGCAATCCTAGCTCCCTCTGCAGCCTAATCAGTTCAATTATATAGATATGCAACTAAGTTAATTAGCCTGATTGAAACTAAAAGATAAGTAATCGATGTCCAATCAAAACAGGTTCATTTTGAGAAAGATGGAGACTCACAGCAAGACCTACGGCTCCCAAGCCAAACACAGCAACAGTTGAACCCTTTGGTGGTTTTGCAACATTCAATGTAGCACCAAGGCCTTCAAATTAAGAGATGAACAGCATCAATAAATGGTTAAGGATTTCAGCACACATAGAGCTAATTTGTTTGGAATTAACTTCATGAATGTTATTTGTAACTCTGTTCAAAAACTAACTTTTAGAATTGAGGACGGGGTTCCAATTCTGTAGGTGTATGTCACTATCATTTTTATTATTTTTTTAAAGATAATGTAATTATGCTAAAATAATAAAACTAATGAAATGAGTATATATCAAGCGATTTGTGGAGAATTATTTTCTTTTTAAAATCAATATCCACAAAAAAAAAACACTCAAAGTTTGGCATTTCCACAATTTTACTTTTCACATTTATCTATAATTATATATAAAGTTAATTGAATGAAGTATAAAAATAACACTCAAAGTCTAAAAACAAATATTGAGTTTACAAGAAATGAATTCATGCAAAATAAACAAAAATCACCCAAAAACCACTTCATTAAATTTTGCTTTTATAATTCAATTTCAACTACTTCCAAACAATTAGCTTGAAACAAACCAATCCAAAGTGCTCAAGAAAAAATGTAATGGAAATAATGTCTTACCAGTTGAGATGCCACAACTAAGAACACAAACTTTATCAAGTGGTGCCTCAGGATTGATCTTAGCAACGCAACCAGAATGAACTACAGTGTACTCACTGAAAGTTGAGGTTCCAAGAAAATGATAGACAGGCTTTCCATTAATCGAGAACCTTGATTCACCATCATTAATCATAACGCCCCTCTCTGTGTTGATTCTCAGTAGGGAGCACATATTGCTCTCCTCAGACTTGCAATGTTCACACTCTTTGCATTCTCCAGTAAAAACTGGAAGGACATGATCTCCAGGAGCAAGATCCGTCACGCCCTCGCCAATGCTCTCAACAATTCTAAGATCAATAAAATACAGAATAATAGTGTGAGAATTTTGTATACTTAACTGTATAATATGATATTGATCATGTTATTCAAGAAGCTCATGAGCTGAATGGATTTGAATATTTCATCTTACAAAGCAGCATAAGCTGTGCGCTTTTTTATATGTAGCAAATATTTTTTAACTGCAATACTATTTTGTATAACTGCAAATTAACAAAAATTAAAACTTTGGCTTGTCTATCTATATAATTTAATTGCAAATACCAGACAAGCCTATCTTGTGATTAGGTTCGAAAAATCCCAAGTCAAATATCTTCTCTGAGAAGGACATTTAATTATCACCCCCTTACCAAACTAAGAGTAGACCCTCTCTCAATAGAGAGATTACTAAGTGTGGTGTCCGGATCGTCCTAAGGCGAATCCGAACGCACCATGTCACCCGGATGCATGGGCCCTGGGTGACGTGGCACGTCCGGATTCGCTTCCGGACGAATCCGGACGCCGCATGTAATAATTTTCCCAACATAGGAGAGATTATTACGTACGGTGTCTGGATCGTCCGAAGGCGAATCCGAATGCGCCACATCACCCAGATGCATGGGTCTGGGTGACATAACACTTTTGGATTTGCTTCCTGATGAATTCGGATGCCGCACGTAATAATTTTCTCAACATAGGAGAGATTATTACGTACGGTGTCTGGATCGTCCGGAGGCGAATCAGAATGTGCCACGTCATCCAGATGCATGGACCCTGGATGACGTGGCGCGTCTGAATTCGCTTCGGGACGAATAAGAGAATATAATGATGAGAAATAACAAAAGAACATAAGCATGTATACTTTAGAAACCTTACCCTCCCGCTTCATGACCGAAGATCCTCGGAAAGACCGGCGTCTGGCCCTGCAGTTTCCAGAACCAACCGCATTACACTTTACACATCTCATTAAAACTTCACGAGACACTTAAATGAATAGTGGAAAATAGGAAATATCAAATCTTGATGGCTAAATGAAACTTTATGAATTGTGAATGAAATTTTAATTAATAAAAAAAAACAAACCTTGGCTTCCCAGAAGTAGACATCAGTGTGGCAAAGAGAAGTGAAAAGGATCTTCAAGCGAACCTCCATTGCCTGAGGAGGCGCTACCTCCACCTCCTCAATCACAAGCGGCTTCCCTGCCTCCCATGCCACGGCAGCTGTTCAATGAATAGCAGCAATTAGCAAAACATCAAATTTTATATTAAAAAAAAAGTTAAATTGAAACCAGTTCTAAAGCAAATATGTTTAAGAATCACCAAATTCCAAATTTTAAAATGGTAAACCTAACCTCTGCATTTGATAACTTGCCCAGCTTTGCTCGCCATACTTCCCAACTTTCTTCTTTATCTTCTTCTTTCTCTCTTCTTCCTTTCTACAAATGATGTGCATAGCTCGGATCTTGAGCTATGTATTTATAGGCCAAATGATGAGAGAGAAGAGGACAGACAAAGAAGGAGAGGTTGAGAGAGAAATACCATTTCCAATGGTCAAGTTCTTTTTCCCACCCATGGAAACCGCCCAGCCTTTGGTTCTGAAAAGACCCGTACCGCGGCGTCCGCGCAAAACAGAGGCGACATTGTGGTGATCCTCCCTGGCTTCCTACGTTAAACTATTCCCACCATTAGTTTTGAACTGCTGTTTGCTTTGCGTTAATTGCGGGAAAATTTGTATCTCGATATCTCACCATAAAAAGATATTTATTTTAAATAGAATAAATAACGGCATAGAAATAAATTAGCTCATCTAATTTTTGATAATGATAAGTTTTAATGATTTTAATTTATCTTAACATTGTATTATATATAATTAATATTATACTCATCTTAAAATATATTTGGAGGTAAAGGTCAAACCACGAAGAGCTTAGGATGGACAATTAACCAATTATCCATTTTGATTTTTTTTTTCTTAAAAGTATAAATATTTTATCATTCTTCAATAAATATAATTGTTCAAATTCTAAAAAAAAACTATTTCTTATAAAAAATTATACATTTCACAATTTTATTTTGTCCACCCTTAAAAGAGATGTTGTTTTCAACTCTTCTTTGAGGATCATTTTAATCATTTTCTTATAAAAAATATTCCTATAAAATAATTTTTATACTTAAATTTAATCTCCTCTAAATTTGCTGTGGAAGCAATAGAACAAGGAAAAACAGGGGACAATGCAAGATAATTTCAATAAAACAGTAGAACTACTGTAGCTAATTTCAATGTAGAAGATAAAACTGTCTTGCTCAAGCCTCTTCTCCGGTATAAGAGAAGCCCAGCTTTCTACAAAAAGTGCAGCAACTCTCAAAAAGGTAAAAGTACTATAGTCCTTTAGTTAGTTAAAGAAGTAGTGGGGAATAATGCTAAATAACAGAAAAAGCAGAGAGTATTCTAATGGTATAGTGATACTGCGGAATACTATAAGGTAGCAGAATTCCACATCAAAATTATAATTGGGGATTTTACATACATGCCACTTTATTATATGCATATTACATATTTAACACCCAAAAGTTAAATATTACAATCTCACCACTCAAATACTAATTTTATAACATAAATACCACTCCGGACTCCTCAAAAGATGAATGGTTGCTTGGTTTGTTTTTCTTTTTCTTACCTACTTTGATTAATGCGGAAAACTTGTGGATGATGAAAAGTCATCACTCGAAATTTCTGAGACTATTCGACACTTGCTTGTTCTAACTTCAAATCCAGGCATCTTGAGAAAGATTGAGAAGTTTAAACATTTGCATTATCTTTTCTTGTCGTATAAAGTTTTTAATGAGGATATTTGCAGTGCACTTATTGAAATGTTCAAAACATCGAGAAGCCTACGCTTATTATACGTATATGCTCTAGACTTGAAAATGATACCTGAGGAGATTGGAAATTTGATACATCTACGATATTTGAAGATCAAAAAAGTTTTCTCACTTAATGCACTAGTCTGCCAAGATCTTTGAGTAATCTCTATCACTTGCAATATATAATTACCTATAATCAATGGGAAATGTTAGGCCAATATGAAGTTTGATGATTTTTTACGAAGTGACATTAACAACCTTTTTAACTTGCGTTACCTGAAATCGCCCAAGAATTATATTTCATCAATATGTGGGATTGGGAAGCTAAGCTTTCTTCAAGAGCTGAATATGTTTGATCTTAGAAATGAGATGGGTTATAGAATTGGGGAGTTGGAGAATATGAATGATCTTTGCAAATTAGGAATCAATTGCATTGAAAATGTTAAGGATGTCGAGGAGGCTTGTAGTGCCCATTTATGTGCCAAGAGGAGGCTCACAGATCTAACCTTATGTTGGAGTAACACTCATTCGCGCGAGGAACATCGATTTAGATGAGAACTTGCTTGACAACCTTCAGCCACCAAAATGTCTAAGGAATCTGAGCATAAATAGATACATTGGTGCAAGGTCAGCAATATGGATGAACAATGTCAATCTGATCTCCAATCTAGAGAAAATCGAATAGACATATTGCAGGAAGTGGGAAACTCTTCACTATTCTTCCGTGAAATCGTGCGCCTTCATGGTCTACCGCGGAGCATCACCTCTGACCGCGACGTCAAGTTTGTGAGTCACTTTTGGAGAGAGTTATGGAAACAACTCCATACAGACCTCAAGCTAAGCTCGGCCTACCATCCGCATACCGACGGCCAAACCGAGGTAGTGAACCGGACGTTAGGCAACATGCTACGTTGCCTCGTGCAGGACAATCCTAAGAAATGGGATGATGTATTGAGCCAGGCGGAGTTCGCCTACAATTCTATGAGCAACCGATCCACTGGTATGTGTCCTTTTAATGTTGTCTACACTAAGTCTCCTAACCACATTGTAGACATAGCGATACTCCCGAAATGCCGCAATCTGGAGGCGGCCAAGCTCGCGGGAGACTACAAATCTATGCTGGAAACTGTTCGAGAACACCTGCAGAATTCCAACGAGCTGTACAAACGAGCGGCGGAGAAGCATCGCAGGATTAAGAGCTTTCAACCGGGAGAGCTAGTCATGGTCCGTATGCGCAAGGAGAGATTCCCGACCGGGACACATTCAAAGCTCAGTCCAAGAAAGATTGGACCAGTACCTATTCGGCAAAAGATCAACGATAATGCGTATGTCATCGACCTTCCTCCTGGGGTGTTGACTTTGTCTACTTTTAATGTTGCAGACATTAGTCCCTACCATTCCGAGGACTCGGCTAACATGGAGATCGATTCGCCGGATGCGAATCCTCTTGAAGAAGGGGAGAACTGATGTGGGAACATCCTTATACCACTAATTTACTATGCAGGCACATTATATTATATATAGTAGCTGACACTTTTTGCTTTCCTCCCCACTACTTTTATAACAGAATATAGTACAATGGTACAGTAGGTAGTTATACATCTTGATTGGCTTATTTTAGTCTGTTCCGTCCCATATAGGGATGAAGAAGAAGACCTTGCTGCTTTAGTTATTTTGAAATACAGAAATATACCACCGGAAGGTTTGGTTTTACTGTTCTATTGCTTTGCTTGCCTCTGTTTTTCCCTGTTTCGTTTGCTTCCACAGCACTTTGGTATCAGAGCTCAGCTTGGAGGAAAGGAATGGCGGAGAGCAGCAGACAACCCGCCTTCGACGGCGTTCAAGGCGAGGGTGCTTCGGCGGCGATTCATTCCAGACTCGTTCAGCAGCTGGAGGAACTCAAGACTGAGTTTCGTCGATTTGCCACTGAGGTACATTTGGAGTTTCAAAACATCAAGGCCGGAAGCGGCAATGTCCAACTGCCGCCGCCTGTTCTACCCCCGACTCACCGAGCCATCCCGCCGCGTATCAAAGGGGGCCGCCGAGGGAGGATAGAAGTACCGGAGCTAAGTGATTCAGACGTTGAATTGGGTCCGCAGCAGCAGATGAACGCATCCAATTCAGGTGATGACGAAACTCCGCCGTTCTTTCCCCCGCGATGTCGCCATGACTACCCGCAGAGACACCAGGGAGACTTCAAAGTAAAAATGGATATTCCATTTTTTGATGGGAAATTGCACTTAGAGGATTTCCTTGATTGGGAACACTCGGTGGAGACATTCTTTGAGTATTTGGATATTTCACCGGACAAGCAAGTAAAATACGTAGCCTGCCGGCTACGAGGCGGAGCAAGTGCCTGGTGGCAGCAAGTGCTATAAGGTCGACACCGAGAAGGAAGGGGAGATGTCCGGACATGGGCTAGGATGAAGCAGCTGCTACGAAGTCACTATCTGCCCACGGATTATGAACAGATTTTGTATATGAAGTTTCAGCAGTGCATACAAGGTCACCGGAGCGTAAGTGACTACACTGAGGAGTTCTATCGCCTTAGTGCTCGTAACAACTTAAATGAAACTGCGAATCAAGTCGTGGCTCGTTACATCGGAGGATTGAAAGAGCAAATACAAGATAAATTAGAGTTGAACTCCGTTTGGTCGCTATCGCAGGCGGTCAATTTCGCTCTAAAGGCTGAAGTGCAATCCAATCGATCAACACGATCCTTACCGCAACGGCGGCAATTTGGTGATTCTCCTACCACCGACACTCGGGGCCAGAGCTCCCACCAGAACAGTGTGACAAAACCGGTACCCAAACTAGCACCCGCGCCTCCGCCTCTGCAACAGCCAGCTCCAAATAAAATGAAAGGACCGGTTAGGGACAATCCGTATGGAAGGCCTACTACTTTAAAGTGTTTTAGGTGCTTTCAGCCTGGACACAAATCCAATGAGTGTCCGAACCGTCAACAGCTACAATTGCTGGAGGGAGATCCAGAATTCCACAATCCCGTTGATGATCCAGAAGCAGAGGAAGACTTTGAAGAAGTGGCTGGAGATGAGGGGGAACCGGTAGTCTGCGTGCTCCAAAAATTGCTGTTGGCACCTACTCAACATAACTTGTCGCAGCGCAATGCCATTTTCAAATCCAAATGCACTATCAAGGGAAAGGTCTGCGACCTGTTAATTGACAATGGGTGCACCAAAAATATTATTTCAAGAGCTGTTGTCCAAGCTCTACAACTCAAAACCACAAAGAACCCGAATCCTTATAGGATTACTTGGGTTAAAAAGGGGGTCGACATACAAGTTTCGGATATGTGCCGGGTGCATTTCTCCATTGGTAAGCATTATGCCGCAGAGATTCTATGTGATGTTCTTGATATGGATGTTTGTCACTTAATCCTCGGGAGACCGTGGCAATTCGATATGGGAGTGTTATATGATGGTAGAGCTAACGCTTATTCATTCGAGTGGAAAGGTCGCAAGTTACGCCTCTTACCAACCGCTCCTCACTCAACTAACGAAGAAGGAAGTCGCACGCCTGATCTTGGCATCGTTTCTGGTAGTTCACTGTTGAAAACGGGAAAGGAGACCAAGTCAATTATTGCGGTTCTCCTGACTGAATCCAATCCCGTGACTTCCCCAAGTGATTGTCCGCTGGAGGTAAAGAGGCTGTTAAGTGAATTCGCTGATGTAGCACCCGCCGAACTACCCAAAGACCTGCCTCCCATGCGAACTATACAACATCAAATTGACTTCACTCCAGGAGCCACTCTCCCAAATCTGCCGCATTATAAGATGAGTCCGACGGAGCACCAGCGATTACAACAGATTGTGGATGAGCTTCTCGACAAGCAGCTGATTCAACCAAGTCTCAGTCCGTGTGCAGTGCCGGCATTATTAGTCCCTAAAAAGGACGGGTCGTGGAGAATGTGCATCGACAGCAGAGCTATTAACAAGATAACTGTTAAATACCGGTTCCCGGTACCTAGGTTGGAGGATATGCTGGACCATCTAGCGGGAGCCAAAATTTTCTCAAAACTAGATTTGAGGAGCGGGTACCATCAGATCAGAATCAGGCCGGGCGACGAGTGGAAGACAGCCTTCAAGATCCGTAGCGGACTATTCGAATGGAAGGTGATGTCGTTCGGCTTGTGCAACGCTCCCGCGACATTCCTAAGACTAATGACGGAAGTTCTAAAGCCGTTGTTGGGTAAGTGTTGCGTGGTTTATTTTGACGATATTTTGGTATTCAGTTCTTCCGTGGATGACCACTGGGGGCACCTGCGTAGTGTGCTTGAGTTGCTAAGAACTCATAAGCTGTATTTAAACATTGAGAAATGTGAATTTGCCACCTTGAAAGTCCATTTTCTGGGGTATTTAGTCTCTGCTAGCGGCATTGCCATGGACCCAAATAAGATCAGCACCATACAGCAGTGGCCGACACCCGGTTCACTGACGGAGATCCGGAGCTTTCATGGTCTAGCAAATTTTTACCGAAGGTTTATTCGCGGATTCAGTACCATTATGGCACCTATTACGGACTGTCTAAAGTCCAGCTCTTTTAAGTGGAGCAATGAACAGCAGCGAAGTTTTCAAACTATCAAAGAGGCTCTTACCTCGGCCCCGGTATTAGCAACACCGGATTTCAGCAAGGCCTTCCAAGTTGACACGGACGCTTCGGCGATTGGTATTGGCGCAGTTCTTTCACAGGAGGACAGGCCGATCGAATTCTTTAGTGAGAAACTCAGCTCGGCGCGCCAGAAGTGGTCCGCCTACGAACAAGAGCTTTACGCGGTAGTTCGAGCTCTCAAGCAATGGGAGCATTATTTGTTGCATAATGATTTCGTCCTCAACAGTGACAACAAGGCATTGCAATTTCTCAATACCCAGAAAAATATAAATAAAATGCACGCTCGATGGGTGGTCTTCTTACAAAAATTCAGCTTTGTACTTCAACACAAACCCGGACAACATAACCGGGTGGCCGATGCTTTAAGTAGGCGTACAGCACTTGTTGTTCAGTTACAATCCGAAATCACGGGATTAGAAGAACTCAAAGATCTTTACTGTACCGACAGGGACTTTTCAAGGCCATGGAGAAGTGTTCCACGGGGCAACCTATTGAGGATTACTCTCTTCGCCATGGGTTTCTCTTCAAAGGTAATTCTTTATGCTTACCTGATTGTTCCGTCCGCCTACAGGTTATGAAGGAAATGCACGATGGGGGATTAGCAGCTCACGTGGGACGGGAGAAGACAATCGAGCTGACTCGGTCTCGATTTTTTTGGCCTCACCTCCGCAAGGACGTTGCAAAATATGTGAGGAACTGTCCGGTGTGCCAAATTTACAAGGGGAACAGTCAGAACACCGGATTGTACAGCCCTTTACCGGTTCCAGTCTCCATTTGGGAGGACCTTAGTATGGACTTCGTGCTTGGCCTCCCGCGCACAAAGAGGGGTGTAGACTCAATCATGGTCGTGGTTGACAGGTTTTCGAAGATGGCTCACTTCGTATCTTGTAAGAAGACATCAGATGCGCTCAACATTGCTCGACTATTCTTCCGTGAAATCGTGCGCCTTCTCGACTTGTTGCTTCGCAGTTGTAGAGATTGCACGAGTCGCAGCTTCGCCTCCTTCGTTGCTGTTCGACTTCGCCCTTCGCCTGTCGGATCGGAAGTTACGACGTTTTGATCGGAAGCAACGACGGTAACTTTCATTTTTATGGACATGTTGCAAGAGAGTTGTCTTTCCCATACCACCATGTATTGCCCTTACAAAGTTGTTTAGGAGCGAAGAGCGAGCTGTAAGCCCTATAGGATTTAGTAAATCAGCCGAACTATAGGATTTAGTAAATCCGGGATTTACGGCAAGCAGCTCGCACCCCTCCTCGGGAAGCGGTTCATACTTCAGAAGTGGAACCCTCTCTTGGGCATGCCCCTCTCTTGAGCCCTAAGCGGGATGAGTTCACCTCTAACCCTTTATGGATGAAAATCCATGATTTGTCACTGGCGTGCTGGAATCTGTTGGGCATTTTGAAGATTGCTAGCTTAATCGAACATCCCTCTCCTGGCTGTTGACGCTCTTAGAACAGGTAGAACTCGTCTGACCTTTGCGCATGTGTACATCTATTCCTTACTGCCTGATGAAGCCAACCTTTCGGTTTGTGGGGGCTGTGTCTCGCTTGTCCACCCAACTAACCCTTGTCACCAAAAAACCTTTCCCCCTCAGCCTGTAATATCCCATCAGCCCAGAGGCCACAGCACAAGATGCAAACTCAGACAATCCAGCCACGTCTCCGCATTACTAAACCTCCAACCAACCTTGTCTCCATTCCGCGAAATCCCCAAACCCACCCTCCTGGCAATCACCAACCTCCCCTGCTACCCAAAATTCCACACCTTCGAACATCGCCGGAACATCACAAATTCTCTCCTCTGCTGCTCCTTCTGGGAATGAAAAAGATCTCATTCCTAACTTGAATTTCCCTTCTGGTGACCATTTTTTGGCCCAGGTTACATACTCGTGCCTTCTTTCAACAAACCTAGTAGTCATTCTTGAATAGAATAATTTTTTTGTGCTTCATCTTTACACTGTTTCCACTTCAGCTACCTCAGATGAAAGCCCACCAACAACAAACTCGACTAACAATCAGTAGATCACCTCTGCTAATGTCCAAGCTATAAAACCCACCCAATCTAAAAATGCCAAAAAGGAATCCACCCCAACCCAAAAGCCCAATGGCCCTTCCCAACTAAATGTCTTGGAATGTGAGGGGGTTTAATTGCCCAGTCAAGGTTCAAGCTTGTAAGGAGTTGGTTTGTTCTTACAAACTTGAAATGATGTGTATTTTAGAAGCAAAAATTTCTCAATCGGTTGCTTCTGACCCATGGTTTATTCAATTTCATGCAATTTTTGATAATGAGGGCAGCTTTAATAATTTTGATGTCTCCTCTCCTGGTAGAATGTGGTTAAAATGGAACGCATCTACTCTTTCCTTTCAACCCTCTTTTTATTCATGTCAAATGGTACATGGCTCCCTCAGTTATGGTCCGAATTCCTCCTGCTTCATCTCTGTAGTCTATGCGTCTAATTCTTATGAAGATCGGCTGCTTCTCTGGCATCAAATAAAAGATGTTGTTCAAAATGCTTTGGGTCCAGGGTTGATTATGGATGATTTTAATTCTTGTAGGAGCAATTTTGACTAGGGCAATTTTATTCCTAATTCTAAGCTTTGGGATTTTAATGAGCTCATTTATATTATTATTGGGGTTCATGAGCTGGATTATGTTGGTCACTTTTATGCTTGACATAATCAACGCATTGAGGATTCTATTCACATAAAATTGGATCAGATTCTTGTCAATGATGCTTGGCTGGAGATTTTTCCCTCTTATTTCTACAAAGTTGGTGACTTGGGCAATTCTGATTACTCACCCTTGCTCCTTTTTAATAGTTCCTTGCCCTCTAGCAATCACGTTTTCCTCTTTAAAAATTTTTGGATTAAGAATCCAAATTTCTAGTATTTATTGGTCTTTGTGTTTGCGCTCAAATTGAATGATAGCCCAATCTCTGATTCTCTTCTCTCCTGCTCAAACTGAAGAAACTAAAAACCTATAGTAAGTCTCAAGAGTGGGCCTCCTCTATGATTTCTAAAACTCTTGCAAATCTTCATGAAAAACAAAGCAATTGTATGCAACAATTGCAAAATGATCCTCTTAACAAGTTCCTGAACTCTTCTTTGAAAGATATTAACATGCTTCTTGTTTCCTGTCACTCATCTTGGGCTTCTTGGCTTGGTCAAGGATATAAAGCCTGTTGGATGATTCATGGGGAAGATAACCTAGAGATTTTATAATCTAGAATCAAAAGTCGTCAAAATCACAATAAGATCAAAGCTTTAGACAACCCCTCTGCCCCCTTTCAACCCCTTTGGAGATCTCCACTACCATTATTAACCATTTTCAATAGCTCTTCAACACTCCAAACATTTCCCCTCACTCCCTTAACCACTTACTTGTTGGCAGCTCAATTCCCATTTACCTTCTCCCTTTTCTTATTACCCCAATCTCCTAGGAAGAAATTAAAGGGGTTATTCTTTCTGCCCCTACATCCTTCTACCCTGGACCTGATGGCTACACCTCAAAATATATTGTTGTTGTTGTTTCTATTGTTGATCTCAAAAGGTTGTCTGGCATGATTTTATTTGGCATAAAATGTATGTCATTCGTTATTCATGTTTTGCTTGGATGGCCATTGTCAAGGGATTAAAGAATGTTGATCTCCTCATTTTGTGGAATATACCTTCTCCTTCCTCCTGTTCCTTATGTTATTCCTACCCAAAAACACACTCTCACTTGTTTGACTGTGATTTTTCATTTTAAATTACATCTTCTTTCCTACCTTGGGTGGAGGGATTTTTATTGGGACCAAACTTGCAACAGTTAGTAGAATACATAATTGAAAATCCCTATTCCAGCAACCACCCCCTCTTTAGCCTTTACTGCCTTCTTAACTTGCTGTTATATATAATTTAATTGGAAAGAAAGGAATGTTAGGAGGTTTGCTTCTGATTTTAATTGCTGGACCTATGTGAAATTGAGCATCAAACAAGCTGTTTTGAAGAAGATTTTGTACTGGAAACATTTCAATGACATCAAGCAATTCATCTCTTAACTTGATAATTGTTGGCCTGCTGCTTTTTGTGGTTTATATTAGCTTGCCTTTTTCAACTTTTTTGGGTGTATGGCTAGAGTCTTAGGATTTTTGGATAAGGACTATGATGAATGTGGATTTTAACCATCATCTTGCTTTTGCTCTTTGGAAGGTCTTTCTTTAGGCAACCAGGTGCATTTCCTTCCCTTGGAAGGCCCCATCAGAAACTAGGGGAACTGACATCCACATGATAATATCCATTTTTTGGGTTAATTTTGTTTTGGACATTCTGTTTCTTCAAGCTTTGCTGTTATTTGTTCCCCATATCTCTTATGTCTACTGTTTCTTTCCTTCTAGTTTTTGGTTTTCTAGTTTTAGGATCACTCGCATGTGCTCTTTGAGATTTTGAGCTCATAAGTTTTTTGGTTGCTCAGGTTACAGGTTTCATTTGTATTTTCTTTTTCTTTGATCCTTGCTCTTTGTAATTTTTCTTTATACTAAATGGATACGAGCTAAGCCCCTAATTTCTCCCAAAAAATATCAAACAACTTTGTAAGACAACATTTCTCTGCCATGAATAGTGGGTCAAGGTGGTATGGGGAAGACAACTCTATTACAACATGTCTATAAAAATGAAATCAAAAAGGAATTTGATCATAAAAATGTGGGTTCGTGTTTCCAATAACTTTGATGTGAAAAAAGTCATTGCAGATGTGTTGGAATCTCTTAAGGAGAGGCCTTGTTTGGAGACGCTTGAGGCACTTCAAAAGTTCTTGTGCTTGATGACATTTGGGAGAATGACGAGGAGCAGGATAAAAGTAAGTTGTAGAAAGTGCTTGCCCCTCTCGCTATGGAAATTTTGGTAGCAGGATTTTGGTAACAACTTGAATGGACTCAATTGCAATGATGATTGCAAATGTCATTAAAAAGAAGAAGGAAATATTTAGGATTTTAGTTGGAGAAGGATTAATTTTTGCAGCTTCTCAACTCTCATGCATTTACTGATGTAGAGAACCCTAATGTTCATAAATAATTAAGAGCCATTGTTGGAGGGAGAGTTAAAAAGCTTTCAGGTTCTCCATTGGCAGCTAAGGTCATTGGTGGTGTTCTAAATTCTAGCTTGGATGATCGGCAAGTAATGACAGTTTTAAAATGCAATTTCCAAGGAGGATGGGAGAGACTAAGGATTTGAGTTGTTCAAATTTCAGCTCACAAGAGATGAACTAACTTTCTAACTTTAAGAAACCACTGCTCTGCCTTATTTGGAAATGAAACCAGCTAATCATTCTCCTCAATACTAAGCTTTTCTAAGGAGGTGATACTTCTCAATGGCTCCATTAGCAACATTGATGGTTCACTTATATTGAGACCGCTGAGTATGAGATGGCAATAGTTGTCTGCACTTCTTGATGTCTTCCGAGAGAGATCAGATTGGGGCAATTTTTAATTTTCATTATCTTAGTGCTGCGAGTCTTGATGAAATTCTTTTGCTATTTCATCAGCTAGAGGAAGAGTTGTGATGTTTCGGTAGCGAGAGACCTCTAATGTTTCAAGGGGAATAGAATTTGAAATGCTACAAAAATTCCGAGTCTTCCACCTCATAATTCCTATCTTCAAGCTCTTGAGCTTAGGAGGCAATTGGGGCAACTCTTTCAACTTCGGGCAGTCAATTAGCTCCGGTTCAATTAAGCAAGGAAACAAACATCCATCTTCAATTAAGCTACTCCTGCCTCAAATTAATCATTTTATGCTACAGGTGGTCTTCTAATAATTTGTTGTCAATATCTATGTTTTAAGTGGAGTTTTTGTTTCAGCTACATCTCTTACTTTTGTGGGGTTTTTGTTTTGGTCTAGTGAATGTCTTAGATTTTTTTTTGGCACTGTCGGCTGACCAACTTATCTCCAAGAACATTCATTCTCACCGTCTTCTTTGCAATTGTAATCTTGAAACTGCTTCTCACTTATTCTTCGAGTATGATCTCTCTTTTAGCATTTTGAAAGTTCTTTTTTCCTGGGACTGCTATTTTCTTGCTTAGTATAACATTATATAGGTTTTCAACGGCATCAATGGTAATTCCCACCTCTATATGGATTCTTTTTTTTTCTCTATTTAGTTATCTATGCTTCTATTTATTTTCTTTGGCGTGAAAGAAACATGAGAAGGTATGGTGGCTCTATCTCCTCTCTAAATGTTGTTTGGTTTTGATTAAAAAGGCCATCAAGGATAAAATTAGATGCTGGAAGAATTGTGATAAGTTTTGGACTTATCTATGATAATTTTCTTTATCCTCATATTTCTCTGGACTTGGGGACTGGACTGCTATTTATGGTTATTGCTGCTGCTGGGTACTTTTTGTATGCTGGGTAGATTGTTTTGGTCGGACAATGATGAGGTAGGATTCCTGCGCGCCCCCTGGATAGCCATGACTTGCTTTGGCAACATTGGTGGTTGATTCTCTTGTTTTGGTCAGACAATGGTGGCCTTTGTTTGGGATTTGGGACTTCTGGTTGCTTCATTCTCTTGTGGTTATCCTTTGTATGGTTTTTTTTGCTGCTGCCTCCAATGGATGGTCCTTGCCTGGCAACCGGGTGACAAACTTTTCTGTTGGTTTTGCAGGAAGCCTCATGTCATTTCCTGAGTCCGATAGGCCTCATGGCCTTCTTGACTGATTTTTGGATATTTTTGATGCCTACATGATGACTAAATTTTAGGTTATTTTGTCTTTTTGATGTTGCTTTGCAATGTGTAGTTTATTTTGGTGATTAAAGTTTTGTGATCTTAGTTTTGGCCTCCTTTTGGGCATATGTTTGTAAATCCTTTTTTCATTTAAAGAAATTTGGGCTAGTCCCAATAATTTTTCCAAAAAAAAAAAGATTCCTTGATTACAACTCTTAGTAATGGAGTTCAAACTGGTGGAGGACCTATTTTTTTGGAATTCTGAGCTGCAGGTCTTTGAATATTCCTTTGCTAGATGGTTGCTTGGTTAGTTTTTTTTCTTAGCTACTTTTGTTAATGTGGGATTTTCCTTTACAGAAGATTGTGAAATTATATGTGATACTGCTATTAATGCGAAAGGGAGCTTTGTCTTTAATGAGAATGCTAATTCCTCTATCTCTCTAATGTGGGATCAATGGTGTAATGTGGTGTGTTCATCTGAATTCCCTCATAACTCTTCTATCATTAATGGTTTCTCTTCTTATTCTCCTCTCTCGGTTATTGTGGATTCTAATGGTTGGAAATTTCCAGTGGCTGTTCAAGATCCCATTCTAAAACTTATTCTCTCTGTTTCCATTCATGTTGATGCTGCTGGTCTGTTATGGAAAAATGGGAGGATTAGGTGTTTTGGTGACTATTTGTTGGATTTCTACTCGAATGAGATGGAGGTGTCTTGGTATAAAACTGTTTGGCATAAGTATGCTGCCACTCGTTTTTCTGTCTATGGCTGGCTGAGCTTGGTTGGTGGGCTCAAAAGATCTGATAAGATGATTAAGAGAAATATTCCTGTTGCCCTTATGCTGTTTATGCTATGCTGAACCTAAAAGTTCATCACACCTCTTTTTTAAATGTGACTAGACTTACTCTATTATAACTGATCTCATCCCTTGCCTAAAATCATTTCTATTGCGTCCAAATTTATATCAGATTGCTAATTTTTATGGTAAAGTGAACATTTCACTGCCGGGTAAGTCTTCCTTTTACCGCTTTTTCTTTGGTGTTCCCTCTATCACTAATAGAGGGAGAGGAATGCAAGAAAATTTGGCAATAAGTATTGTAGCAAAGCCACTGTTTGTATTATCATCACTAAGGCTATTTGTCAAAAAATTTCTAGTTGGAAGAATGAGGAAAAATTCAAACATATGCTTATTGGCTCATCTTAATATCCTTGGTGGATGCATTGGCTGTACTGACGGTTTTTCATGTCTCTTTGCTGTGGTGGGTGGCTCATGGACTTTCTATTGCTGTGAGTTTGGTTTATTGGATGTTTTTATCGTGGTGGGCTTGGTTACCCTTGGGTTGTATGCCAATTGCTTCTCTTATCTATCATTGATGATCTGGGGTTTACAGGTTTATGTTTTGAATGGGATTGTGATGAGGGCATCAGATTTCGACATGTGTACCATCGCCGGGGACGACGATCGACGGCCCTAATTCAGAGCCTTTATCTATGATGCTTTAGTTCTTTTCTTTTATTAGTTATTTCATGTTTCCGTTTGTTACATCATATTACATCAGATTGTCTGTGGGTTCTGTTATCTTCGATTCGCTGCTGCTGCTCTCTGTTTTGATTTTATGGATGGGTGTTTTGATGCCATGGTCGATGATGTATACCCATCCTGGTTTTTTTTCCTTTGGACGGTCTTCGGGCAAGCAAGGGTGCCAATTTTATCTGGTTTTAACTGTTGGATTCTTATTGATCCTGAGTTCTGGCATTTTGCTTTATATTTTGGCTCTTACCTCTCATTTTATCTTGATGTAATTTTGTGAGACAGCTTTGTCCTGTTTCTTTTTTAACCTTTACTCAATTATTTTTTCCTGAGCACTCAAACTCATATATTTATTTGCAAGCAGTATCAAATAGGTAGCAGATGATAGAGAACGCACCTCTGTTTCGTCCATGTTTTGGTTCAGCTGTTCTTCATGCTTCATGTACTCAAACTCATAGAGCACATCATCTGCCTCATCAATAAAATTGGAAATGTCCAAATTTACTTAACATATTTGAAATAAATTTGATTTAGTCGAAATTAGTTTTATGTGATTGAATTAGATCACCCGAAATCATTTTAATGAAATTCAATTTAATTAGATATGAACTAATTCAATTCTAGCTGCAAATGAAATTTTACTTATCCTCGAATTGAGTCG